ACTGCAGCCCAGCAGCAGCTCACGGGACGGGGTACCACCTGCCTAGCAGGAGCTCACAGCCCTTCCTTGATCCCAAGGCCATGCCCAGGGACTTCAGGAGGCCTGTGGAGGAGGGTAAAGGACACGTCTACCTCTGCCTCTCATAAAGCACATGTGGCCAATGGGGGTCATATTTTATTTGGCCCATGTGGTGCTTTTCAGAAATTTGAAGCAACAATTTAAAATCAGGAGGGTTCAAATAAAAGTTCTGATGTCTGGATTCTCTTGACAGTAAGAGGATTGGCTGCCCCAGGCCCACAGTCCCACCAGGTCTTGGTCAGGGGAGCTGAGGAGGGGCTGCCCCTGTGGACGAAATCTGTCATCTGTGCTGTGCCCACGGTGAGGCCAGGGCCAAATGCCATGTGCCACTGCACTCACATTGCTGTTTCCATTTTAGCAGAGACATTCTCTCTGTGTCCGTGTTTATATCAAAAGCAGGAAAATTAATGCCAGGCCAAGGGTGGGTGTAATTCTTTTTCTTACCCTCTGCCATTGTCCTCATTGGCATTGCCTGCTGGGCGCTGCAGGTCTCTTGAGTTTGCAGCCCTTGTCTTGGGATGGCAGGACTTCTTGCAAATGTGCCTGACAGAGAGACCACATGCCTGGTATGTGACCCAGGGGTCTTTCCCACACAGTGGGGACTTTCCCAGAGTCCCAAGTTCAGCCCTCCTTGGTGTGACCAGCAAGGCCACATCTCTGCACACTAGGTCTTAGGGTCAGACCAACCATAGCACACCAGGCCCCACAGTCTGGCTGAGATGGCACTAGGGTCCAGCAGAGGCAGAAGAGGGGCAAGGGGTCTGCCTGGGCTGTGCCTGAGCACTGTCCCCTGAGAAGGAGTGAAGGGTACCTGCAGTGTTGCTCCTCCATGGGTGTGCACCCCATTCATTGCATAGCCAGCCTTGAAAGGGAGGCTGATTTGCTTCCTGTATAAGCTGAATGGTGGCCCCCAAAGATACCAGATTCTAATCACTAGGACCTGTGAATGTTATCCTACATGGCAAAAAAGGACTTTGTAGATGTGATTAGATTATGGATCTTGAGAGGTGGAGATCATTCTGATTATCAGGGTGAATCCCAATGCCATTACCCGCATCCTTTATAAGAGGGAGGCAGAGGGAGATTGACATCACACAGAAGAGGAGGAGGTGATGTGACCATGAAGGCAGAGATTGGAGTGGTGCAGCCACAAGCCAAGGAATGCCAGCAGCCACCAGAAGCTGGGAGAGGCAACGAACAGATTCGCCTTAGAGCCTCCAGAGGGAACCAGCCTGGCTGACACCTTGATTTCAGCCCAGTGACACTGACTGACTTCAGACTTCTGCCCCCCCAAACTATGAGAGAATGAAGTGCTGTTGTTTTAAGCCTCCCAGTTGGTGGTAATGTGTCATAGCAGCCTGAGACTCAGAGGGGCGTGACATGCCAGGATCACCCAGTGCAAGCTGTGAGCAGGGCTGGGCTCCTTATCCTGTACCCACTGGCCCTGGCTCCCCCTCAACAACCCCAGACAGTGTTAACAGATGGCAGCCAGGGCGGTGCTCAGGCGGTGGCCTAGAACTGGGAGTGAAGCTCTCTCCATGCTTGTATACAAATGCAAACACACATGCATGCACACACGTGGAAACACCAGAGAGACCAGTGTTACACAGCACACCTCCCAATATATGGCCCTGGGTACAGGGCTGGCTCGGGGGAAGGCTGAGAAAGGGACTCAGGGTGCTGGGGAAAGGTCCAGTCCATCAGAGGCCTGGAGATGCCTGAACCTCCTCTCCCCAAAAGGCCACACTGGCACCCTGGCCTTGGAGCCCTGCCCTTCTGGCCCAGCCAGGCTCCCAGGCCCAGCAGAGCCAAGCAGAGACACTTCTGCAACACCTGTGAGTCCAGTGAGGGAAAAAAAGTCATCCTGGTCTCCTTCAGTCCCTTGCCCACCCTGGTACCCTCCTCCAGGGCCTGAGGGTGACATTGCTGTGGGCTAAGCTGCCCAGTGCAACCTCTAACCGTGGCCTGAGTCCTAGAAGACACGCTAAAAGCATCATTTTCCATCCTTTCCCTGGGCAGTCTGCAACCCAGTAGCTGAACTAAGATGATGTAGACCATTAGTGACAATGATGCTCTGAGTGTCCGGGAGCACCTGAGAGCACCCCAGGAAGCCTGTTGGCTGCTCAGGGAAAACAGGGCAATGGCAGCGTGTCTCAATGCTCTGGAAGAGCTGTGTACAGCACACGCTCCCACAAACACCCCATCCCACAGGCCCCCTCACCCATACCCTCACCACCCTCCGCAGGCTCGCAAACCCCACCCAGCCAGATGCTAATCTCCCAGACCAGGAGGCCCAAGACAGGTGTTTCCCCTTCCCCTTCCTCCGAGGACCCATTATATCCATTGTCCATTGATAAATGGCCAGGGTATTTCAAACCTGCTTCCAGAAGTTGCCCTGCGGGGGCAGGAGGAAGCTTCCAGTCAGTACATCCTGCCTTCTTTGGCCAGAGCCACATTGACATATCAGGGTTCCCATCAGAATTCACCAGAAGAAAGGGTCTCCTAGCCTTATACACACACACTCACACACACATCCTGAAAGCCTTTGCATGGAGGTCCTGGTGTTCTGTGCCCAGTAGGCCATGTCCTCTTGCCGGAAAGAGCACGGAGCAAACATGCTCAGCCAAGGACACTCCTTTTACATATCTCCCAGCTGCCACCGTGGGCCCTGACAAGGCCTGGGTTGATGGAGAGCAAGACTGTCGGGGGTCACCGCGGGCCCTCAGACCAGCTCCAGCATAAAATATGTCTGGACCACCTCCAGTCAGTGAGTGGGCCTCAGCCCTGGGCCCAGTAGAAACAATCAGGCACATGCAGGGAGAAATGTGCTTTCTGTGGACAAGTCACCCACACAGGGTCATGCTGACACTGGGCAGGGACGTCAAGGAAAGGGGGTCTGGCGCCAGACTCTGGGCCAGCGGCCGAGACCTACTGCCCTCGGCCCACAACCTTCAGCCTACACACCCACAGCCCCGGGCTGAGGTCTAGAGCTCACCCCACCCCATTTCAGCGCAGCCTCAGCCCCAGACCCATGCAATTGGCCTTCCCTCTTCTAAGATCAATGGTTTCTAGGCTTATTCTGAGTTTGAAATTCCTTTCCTGTGCTCTGAGTTCCAAGCTCTCATGAGAGATAGCCAGATGAGAAGGTTGGGGGAAGGATTCGAGAGAAGATGCCAAAAGGCCAACAAAAGCCCAGGAAATAAGGCAAGGCCCGTCAGGCCATGAAGAAGGGCTGCCACGTTCAGGAGATAGGTACCACACTGAATTTGGGATTGGCACCCTGGCCCAGGGCACCTGGCAGCCTCACTGTGCAGGCTCCACCATACCCAGCCTAAGTGGGCCCCCAGGGAACCCCCTGAACCTTCCAGTAGAGATCAAGCCCAAAGTGGCCAGGTCCTCAGCTCTGTGAGACACAGGCATTCCTAATCCAACAGGACAAATGAGAAGGCAGAGGCCAGAGGCCCAAACTTGCCCAAGGGCAGACAGCCAGCGAGGAGCAACACCAGGGCCCTGATCCCTGGTCTGGGGCACTTCCCTTGCTCCATTTCTACTCCTGCCCTCACCCAATGGGATTACTCTCCATTCCTCCCCATGCAGAGAAAGAAGCCCAAGGGTGGGAAAGCGGTAGAAGGGGCTGAAGCTGGGGAAGGTCAGATGGGCAGCGCCTGCGGTGCCCCCTCCACTGTTGGCAGGAGACCTACGATTCATCATCTGGGAAGAAGGGGCAGCTGGAAGTATTGATCGGCTCTAGAGAGCACTGGGATTCCTGATGGGACAATTCCTTTGCAAAAGTATCTGATACCATTCCTTGAAATTAGAATGGTGCCTTGCCAGGCCGCACCCAATTGATCTGCCAGCTGGGAACTCGGAGAGACCTAAATTAAATGAGCCAAGGCTACTTGGGGCAATGGGGGTGTCTCGCCTAATCACAGCATAGCTGGGCTGGCCCAGTAGGGCCTCTGGGGCTCACTGTAAACATGCAGATGAGCCTGACTCAAGACCCAGGCCTCAATGCTCTGCCTGCTGCCACCTGCCCTGGCCATGGGCGAGCACAGCCAGGAATCTAGAACCCCAAACTGAGGGCTAAGCCCACCCTGCAAGAGCCAAGCACAGAGCCTGGGCACTGCCAGGACCACAGCCAGACCCCAACCTGGCTTCACTGAAGCCCAGGACCTGAGATCCTGAGAATGCTGGGGAGGTTTGGGCTGAGGGTAGGTGTGTCCTCCTGGAGGGCTCTGAGAGGCTGCACCACCTGCCCAGTAGCTCCTTCCACGCTCCTGGGCCCAGAGCGCACTTTGATTCTAAGCTGAAAAAGATAAAACCACATGAGTCTGTGCATAGGTTGCTGAGGCTGCTGGGAGCACCTCTGGGGTCTTTGTGGAGCGCTTCCCTCCCCTCCTGGCATCTGAGCTGTCTCCCAGAGGGAGCAGGGTCCAATCGGGGCCAAAGAAGCACTCAGGGCCTTTCTCTGTGAGCAGCCAGGGAGGTGTGGTCACCACTGCAGGGAAAGCACAGCACAGAGGCAGGGGAAAGAGGCTAGGGATGGGGGTGAGGGGGCAGCAGACGTCTTCTTCAGAGGCCTAGGCTCAGAGACACGGGCACGAGACTCAGGCCGGGGTACAGGCCTGATCTGGGTCTTGCATCCTCCCTGACACTTGCCAGCCCTCAGACAGCCAGAGGTAAGACCCTCAGGCAGCCTTTACTGCCTGCTGTGGAGGCCTCAGACCTACAAGCTTATGGCCCACATAGACCCAAAGCAGAGGTCCCTGACCCAGCATCCCAGCACGCCCACTGTGCTATGTGGTCAGCAAGGGCGGGTCTCAGCCTTGGCCTGGGACCAGAGCTACAGAAAGGGCGCCTGGGTTCCCCAGGGGGGACATTCAGGGTCCACCATGCAACCCTCCCACCTGCAGCAGCCTTACCTGTGTCCAGGGCCTGTGGCCCCCCCAGAGGAGGGGGTCTGGAGGTGGGCGGCTGGCGATACACCACATGCACACGGCCCTGCTCAGCCTCATTTGCTGCCAGACCCTTCTCCAGGGGCTCGATAAAGAACTCCTCCTCCTCCATACGGATCAGGCCAGCCTGCAGGGCAAAGATGAGACTGTTGAAATTCCCAGCGCACAGCAGACGAAGGAAGAGAAGCAGTGAGGAGGGCCGCAGAGAGCAGAACCTCCAACCTGGCTGAGCAGGGCCCAGTGAACCCTGCCCAGCAGCCCAGCTAGGTGCAAGGCTTGAACCCCAGGCTGGGAAGGGCACAAACAGGTGGGCCTAGAGGCTCCATCATTCCAGAGGCTCCACTTCCAGCCACCAAGGCCAGAGCCATTTGGGGGTGATGAACCCTGCCTGAGGAAGGGGTTCTTGCCTGGGTTATCCCCCGCCTTCACCCCCAGGAGCCCAAAGTCCAAGACAAAGGCCAAAACTGTCAGAACTGAATCTGCCACAGATATGTTCAGTTGGACCCAAAGAGTGTTTTCAAAGTTCTGAACCCAACACTCAAAATGATGAGATTTCATGTTTCAAAAATGGGATTCCATCTTTCCTTGGAAAATGCAGGCTCTGACCACAGTGCATGGCACACAGCAGTGGGCACCACGGATGGAGCACGCACCACTGCAGCTGGCCACAGTCCCCACTGTCTATCCTTTTATCTGCAACAGTCACCAGCCCAGGCTCTACAGCAACTGAAGCCTCCCCCAAAACTGGCTATGGCTCTTCCATGCTGCAAAGCCCTCGATGAACCCTTGTCCCCATCAGGATTCAGGCTACTCTGTACTCTGGCATCCAAGGCTCTCAGCCTGCCACTGTCCTCTTTGCTCCCAGCTCACACACCTTACACCAGTCATTGAAACAGTCCTGTCCTTCCAATACAGTGCACTCTGCCTGGCCTTCAGGCTCCTGAACCCACGAAGCCCTCAGCTTGGAAGGCCCTGCTCCTGCCCCCAGCCTTGGCCATCTGGTAAACTCTAATTCTCCCTTCAGTGCTTGGCTCAGACCCCCAAATGCCATGCCCCTACTGCAGGTACATGGCCCTGCCCTCCCCTTGAGGCCATCCTGCCATCACTGCCCCATCCAGCTCCCACACTTTTGATTTTTTGGTCCATTATCCATAAACCAATAGTCTTACACTGGGAGTCCCCACTGTGTCAACCTGCAGATGTATTTCCTTTAGATCACACACTTATGACCCACTCGGGGATTAGGGGTTTTTTAAAACCACTCTTTTGAGGCATGACTGACATGTAAAAAGATGTACATAGTTAATATATACAACTCAGTGAGTCTGGGAATGAGTATACATTCATGAAACCATCACCACCATGAAGGCCATAAACATATTCATCACCTCTCACAGTATCCTCCCACCCTTTTTATTGTTATCATTTTTTTGTGGTAAGAACACTACATGTAATATCAACCATCTTAGCAAAATTTAAGTATATGATATTTTTTGATAGAATATTGTTATAGGCACTGTGCTATATAAAAGATCTCCAGAACTTACTTATCTTGCATAACTGAAATTCTGTGCTCTTTGACAATCACCTCCCATTTCCTCCTCCCTCCAGCCCCTGGCAATCACCATCTGACACTCTACTTCTATGAGTTTGACCATTCTAGATTCTACACGTAAGTGAGATCTTGCAGTATTTGTCTTTCTGTGTCTAGTTTATTTCACTTAGCATAATATCCTTGAGTTTCAGCCATTTTGTTGCAAATGGCAGGATCTCCTTCTTTATAAAGGCTGAATAATATTCCATTGTACATATGTACCACATTTCTTTATCAATTTGTCATCCACAGATAGACATTTGGATTGTTTCCATGTCCATTGTGAATAATGCTGTAATAAACATGGGAGTACAGATGTCTCTTCAGTATCCCGTTTTCATTTTCTTTGGGCACATTGCCAGAAGTGGGATTGTTGGTCACATGGTAGTTCTATTTTTAATTTTTTGAGGAACTTTCATATTGGTTTCTATAGCGACTAAACCAATTTTCATTCCCATCAACAGTGCACAAGGGTTTCCTTTCTCCACATCCTCACCAACACTTGTTATCTCTTGTCTTTTTGAAAACTATTCTAACAGATGTGGCATGATATCTCATTGTGGTTTTAACTTGTGTTTCCCTGATGATTAGTAATGTTGAGCACCTTTTTACATACTTGTTGCCCATTTGTATGTCTTCTTTGGAAAAATGTTTGTTTGGGTCCTTTGCCCACTTTAAATTGATATATATATGGCTTTTGAGTTGTATGAGTTCCTTCTATATTTTGGATATTAATCCCTTATCCAATAAGAGGTTTGCAAATATTTTCTCTCATTCTCTAGGTTGCCTTTTCACCTTGTTGATAGTTCCTTTGCTATGCAGAAGTTTTATAGTGTGATGAAGTCCCACTTGTTGATTTTTGCTTTTATTGCTTATGCTTTGGTGTAATAGCCAAAAAATCATTGGCAAGACCAATGCCAAGGAGCTTTTCCCCTATGTATTATTCTAAGAGTTTTATGGTCTCAGGTCTTAGGTTTAAGTCTTTAATCCATTTCCAAATTAATCCATTTAATTTTTGTGAGTGATGTAGGACAGGGGTCCAATTTCATTCTTTTGCATGTGAATGTTCAGTTTTCCCAGCACCATTTATTGAAAAGACCCTCTTTTCACATTAATTATTCTTGGCTCCCTTGTCAAATATAAGTTGACTGTGTATGCATAGGATTATTTCTGGGGTCTTGATTCTGTTCCCTTGGTCTATGTGTCTGTTTTTATGTCAGGACCATACTGTTTTGATTACCATAGCTTTGTAATATAGTTTGAAATCAGGAAGTGTGATGCCTCCAAGTTTGTTCTGTCTCAAGATTTCTTTGGCTATGTGAGGTCTCTTGTGGTTCCATAAAAATTTTAGGATTTTTTTTTTCTATTGGAATTTGTAATTTTGATAGGGACTGCATTGAATCTATAAATGGTTTGGGGCACTATGTATATTTTAACAATATTAACTCTTCTGATCCATGAACACAGTATATCTTTCCATTTATTTGTGTCTTCTTCAATATCCTTAATCAGTATCTTACAGTTTTCGGTGCACAGATCTTTCACTTCTTTGGGTAAATTTATCCCTAAGTATTTTACTACATTAGATGCTATTGTAAATGGAAATGTTTCCTTTATTTCTTTTTCAGATACTTCACTATTAGTGTATAGAAATGCAACTGATTTTTGTATGTTGATTCTGTATCCTAAAACTTTACTGAATTTGTTAATTAGTTCTAACAGTTTTTTGGGGGGAGTCTTTAGAATTTTCTACATACAAGATCATGTCATAAGGAAACAGGGATAATTTTACTACTTCTTTTCCTATTTGGATGTCTTTTATTTCTTTTCCTTGCTCTGGCAAGAAAGCAAGTTCCAGTACTATTTTGAATAGGAGTGGGGAGAATGGGCACCCTTGTCTTATTCATGATCTTAGAGAGAAAGCTTTCAACTATTCACCACTGAGTATGATATTAGCTATGGGCTGTCACATATGGTCTTTATTATGTTGAGGTATGTTCCTTCTATACTTAATTTGTTTAGAGTTTTTATCATGAAAGATGTTCAATTTCGTCAAGTGCTTTTTCTGCACCTATTGAAATGTTCATATAAATTTTATTTTTCATTCTATTAAGGTGGTATACCACATCTATTGATTTGCGTATGTTGAACCAAACTTGCATCCCAGGGATGAATCCCACTTGATCATGGTGTATAGTCTTTTTAATGTACTGTTGAATTCAGTTTGCTAACATTTTGTCAAGATTTTTTTCATCTATATTCATCAGGGATATTCTCCTGTAGTTTTCTTTTCTTATAGTGTCCTTATCTGGCTTTGGTATTAGGATAATGCTGGCCTCATAAATATGAGTTTAGGAGTGTTCCCTCCTCTTTAAATTTTTGGAGGAGTTTGAGAAGGGTTGACATTAATTCTTCAGTAAATGTTTGGTAGAATTTACCCATGACATCATGTAGTCTTGGGCTTTTCTTTGTTTGGAGATTTTTGATTACTGATTCAATCTCCTTACTCATTATTGGTCTGTTCAGATTACCTATTTCTTCATGATTCAGTCTTGGTAGGTTGTATGATTCTAGTAATTTATCCATTTCTTCTAGGTTGGTCAACTTGTTGGTGTATACGTATTCATAGTAGTCTCTTATGATCCTTTATATTTCTGTAATATCAGTTGTAATGTCTCCTCTTTCATTTATTATGAGTCTTCTCTTTTTCTTGGTAAGTCTAGCTAAACGTTTGTCAATTTTATTTTTTCAAAAAAACCAAATCTTAGTTTTGTTTATATTTTTCACTGTTTTTCTATTTCACTTATTGTTACTTTGATCTTTGTTACCTCCTTCCTTCTGCTAACTTTGGGCTTAGTTTGTTCATCTTTTCCTAGTTCCTTGAGATATAAAGTTAGGTTGTTTATTTGAGATCTTTCTTTTTTATTGTAGGCATTTATTGCTATAAACTTTCCTCTCAGAACTGCTTTTGCTGTGTCACATAAGTTTTGGTATGCTGTGTTTCCATTTTTGTTTGTTTCAAGATATTTTCTTTATTCCCTTTTGATTTCTTCTTTGACCCAGTGGTTGTTCAGGAGTGTATTAATTTCTATGTATTGTGAATTTTCCAGTTTTCCTCCTGTTACTGATTTCTAGTTTTGTACCATTGTAGTCAGAAAAGTTACTTGGTATGATTTGTCTTTTAAATTTGCTAAGACTCGTTTTTTGACCTAATAATATATGACCTATCCTGGAAATTGTTGCATGCAGGCTTGAGAAAAATGTGTATCCTGCTACTGTTGGGTGGAATGTTCTGTTAAATATCTGTTAGGTCCATTTGGCCTACAGTATAGCTCAAGTCCGATGTTTTCTTATTGATTTTCTGTCTGGATGATCTATCCATTGCTGAAAGTGGGGCACTGAAGCCTCCTACTGTTATTGTATTGTTGTCTATTTCTCCTTTCAGATCTATTACTATTTGATTAATATATTTAGGTGCTTTGATGTTGGGTGCATATATATTTACAATTGTTATAGTCTCATGATGAATTACC